TTAGATTGCCTTTATTGGCTTTAACTTTAGTCATCCGTCTCGTAAAGAAAATAGTGGGAGTATGAAAATCTTAGCTGGTTAGCACGTGCGTATAATGGGTTTGGGTTATTACGGTCCCACCAAGCCGACCGAACACAAATTCGGTATAATTCGGTACAATGGTTGACTGGGTGGTATGTCACGATGTTGTAATTGCATTGGAATTATGATGAATTTTAGTTGATATGGGATTTTATTAGATTCACGTCATAAACTAAACTTTGAGTGTATTAATTCTGTTTTAAATCTCCATGACTGTACCACTATCATCCTCCTTAAGGAATGAGAGACTAACCGATGTTAAATCACTATACCGAACCGGTCGGTTGCATATATTGGGCTACGCTTGTTAAAGAAAAAATTGGCTTTGCAATTGGGCTTCACTTTTTAGCAACTTTGTAGCTATTTTTTTATCTGTAAGCTTTTTCATGCCCTTTAATGCTTTTCCAATTTCCTTTTCCAGTGGTTTAAATAGAACATCTTCTAATTTAGGCTTTGATAAATTTGTTGATAAACTCGAAACCAAACCGAACTGGGAAAAAGAAAAAGCTTCGATCAAGGTTAAAGTATGGGGGTTGGGCTTTATTTGAAAAGAATTGAATTATATTATTGTCGTGTAACATAATAGTAGTATACCTTAATTTCGTCAACATCAGTTTGTTCTCCAACATAGAACCGAAAGAACTTGCGGCCAAGAGCGCGTGCAATAAAACGCGCAATGCTAGTTTTACCTACTCCAGGAGGGCCAGAGAGACAAATGATCTTCCCTGTTGATACATTTTAGAAACTTTCAATTTCATAACTTGTAATAAATCTTTTTAGCAAAGAAGAGTGAATAAAAAAGACAAAGATACAACCTTGTGAAGTGCCTCTAAGTTTTTCCACAGCAATAAACTCTAGTATTATGTCTCTTTTACATCAGATAATCCGTAATGATCCTTGTCAAGAAACTTTTTTGCCCTTAGGATATCAAAATTCTCATCACAGCAGACCAAATTCATATGATTATAAATAAGACTTTATCAAATTAAGCAAATTAATATGAAGCAAATGGCAAACCTGAAAATTCCCCAAGGCAAAACTGTCAACCAATCAAGGTAGTCATAGGTCATATTGAAATTGCTATTATTGTCTTCTAACATCTCCAGTATTGCAAGCTCTTTTTCGATGACTTTTAAGTACATTTTTGGAATTTTGTCGTTAGCTTTAATCTTTTGTCATAAGCTTCAAGTTGTTTTACAATCATCGATGCACAACTCTTGGAACTCAAGTCATACAAGATTAATCGTTAATCTTAAGCATCATGCTTTGTGGATTCTTAATCA